GCAATCCTCCTGTCTCAGCCTCCTGAGTAGCTGGGAATATAGGTATATGCCACTGCTCCCAGCTTAACTTAATGGAATGTGTTTTTATTCACCCATTGGAAAAGGCTTTGCTACATATTAATACAGACTTGTCACTAACAAACCCTTCTTTTTTTTTTTTGAGACAGAGTCTCACTCAGTCGCTCAGGCACGATCTCGACTCACTGCAACCTCTGCCTCCCGGGGTCAGGCAACTCTCCCGTCTCAGCCTCCCAAGTACCTGGGATTACAGGTGCATGCCACCATGCCCAGCTAATTTTTTATCTTTAATAGAGATGGGATTTCACCATGTTGGCCAGGCTGGTCTCAAACTCCTGACCTTAGGTGATCCGGCCACCTCAGCCTCCCAAAGTGCTGCGATTATAGGCATGAGCCCGGCCACTAATAAATCCTCCTTTAAATAAGAAAATAATATGAGCATAACTTTGTGTGAATTTTAATGTCCTGGAGGCTTGTTGCTTTATGTATAAAGTGCAGGTCAGTAAAAATTAAAATGAGGTAGTGGTATAATAGGCTTAACCCAGTAAGGGTACAATAAAGGATGGCTAATTATTATTATTATTATTATTTTGAGATGGAGTTTTGCTCATTCGCCCAGGCTGGAGTGCAATGGCACGATCTCGGCTCACTGCACCCTCTGCCTCCGGGTTCAAGCAATCCTCCTGTCTCAGCCTCCTGAGTAGCTGGGAATATAGGTATATGCCACTGCTCCCAGCTTAACTTAATGGAATGTGTTTTTATTCACCCACTGGAAAAGGCTTTGCTACATATTAATACAGGCTTGTCACTAACAAACCCTTCTTTTTTTTTTTTTGAGACGGAGTCTCACTCAGTCGCTCAGGCACGATCTCGACTCACTGCAACCTCTGCCTCCCGGGGTCAGGCAATTCTCCCATCTCAGCCTCCCAAGTACCTGGGATTACAGGTGCATGCCGCCATGCCCAGCTAATTTTTTATCTTTAATAGAGATGGGATTTCACCATGTTGGCCAGGCTGGTCTCAAACTCCTGACCTTAGGTGATCTGGCCACCTCAGCCTCCCAAAGTGCTGGGATTATAGGCGTGAGCCCGACCACTAATAAATCCTCCTTTAAATAAGAAAATAATATGATCATAACTTTGTGTGAATTTTAATGTCCTGGAGGCTTGTTGCTTTATGTATAAAGTGCAGGTCAGTAAAAATTAAAATGAGGTAGTGTGGTATAAT